CTTCACTAAAACCCGCTTACTTTGGTGGAGTGTATCTACAAGGATCTATGGAAGACAAACACTCTTATGACTGGTTTCTCAGTGGCTCTGGGTAACATTCTTTTTTTTTTTGTGAAAATACTGTACAGAGGGGTTACAATTACATGGGCAAGATAATGAGCATATTTCTTATCAAGCATTGTAGCCTCCTCCTTTGTTTCCCCTTCCCATCCCTTGGGTAACATTCTTGACAGAAGAGTTAAACTCCTGGGTATATCATAGTCATTCTTTATATTACAATTGCCCAGCAAAAAAACCAAACCCACGAAGACACTAAGGGTACAGGTTTTAGTAAATAGTTGGGAAACAGAATGGAAAATCATTTTGCTTTTGCTTTCCTGTAAGATACTTGGATGTCTTTGATCCTTGGCCTCTGTGGGCTGAAGCTCTCTTCAGTTCACCAGCCTGTTGTTGCAAGAGTTGAAGGAAAGATTCATCTCCAACTTCTCCTGGTGTGTGATGTGCAGACAGCCACATCTTCGTGGTATCTTCGTATCTTCGTTGTGACAATTCTTGAACTGCCACACATTGCACATTAATGTACAACTGATGATGAATTGTCTTTAAAAAGGTGAAAATTGTGATCTCAAAGTGACCTTATAGAGGTGCAAATGAACGTTAGCACCACATTTCCAAAATGAAATTATTTTTAAACATATGCATATAGGTATAATTCATAGTAGGTGTATTTTCTTTTCTCTTTTCTTTCTTTTTTTGTTGGAGGTTTACTGCTTTAAAATGAGAAATGTGTGATTCTATCAACGGTGTGAAATTCTTCATTTTTCTAGATTGGAAACTTAGTAATATTTATGAATAGAACAATAGGAAAAATTGGGCCAAAGTTTAGCAATATTCTAATTTTAAATGCAAGTATCACAAGTGTTTAGAATCTGATTTTTTCTTTCCTTTTTGTAGTTTTTGCTATGAAAGAGCTAGAGATTTTGAAATAGCTCACAAATGGTAATTTTCTTGTGGTTTTAGAACAGAAAATTGCATTGACTAATCTTTTCTATTTCTAAAGCTGCTTATTCAAATCATGTCTGAATCTGATAAACCCATGAGCCCCAACTTAACCCAACCTAAGCAAAACTTAACCTTTCTCTCTTCTCACATCAGGGGACAATGGGCCTCAGCTGCAGGGAGCATTTGAGCTGCTTGCCCCATTTCCAGGCCAGCTGGAAGGCCAGATTCCTTGCTTTCCAGCCAAACAGACACTTGGCACCCAGGTACCTCCAGGCAGAGAGGTTTAACATGGTTTGAATGAATGAAGCCTGGATATTGAAGTTATCTGTCCCTTTACATTGATGTCACTGGGAATCCAAGACCCCTCTTTCGTTAACTGGCCTCTCACATAGAATGACGCTGACAGAAAACAGCCAGCAACTAAAACAGTTGGTACTTTTTTATTATTTGTAATTTTGTCTATTTGCATGAGAGCCTGGCAGCATATGGCCTGATGAATTAAAAAAACAACACCACCCTGGTAAATGCTCATCCATTGGCCAGAGCTCCAGCTCACTCAAGGCATTAGCAGTGGCTAGTGCAGCTCCACCTGCCACTTGTCCAGAGGGTGGGGGCACCAACTGATGGCCTACTCAGTGTCCACAGCCAAATGTACTCAGCTAATGCCATGATTTAATTCCTAACAGTACTGTCAGGAATGGCCAGAAGTAGCAACACCCACTGTTTCAACAGTAAATGTGATTGGCAAGCTCCCCACTCTCTGCCTACACTAATTGTGTCCCCTCTCAGGCCAGTGGGAGAAATCAGGCCAGGCGAGGAGAAATACTTCTTGTCCTATGGACACAAGCCACTGATGGGTACAAATAAGGGGGAAGTCTGCTCACATTAGCAATCCTTGTTAAAAGGGAGTGGCAGCAACCTGGGAAAGAAGCAAACCTTCATGCAATGTATCTGTTTACCACATTATACATTGATCTTTTCAAAGACCAGTATTCAGATGGTTCTAGATTTTTGGACTTCTAAATTAGCCATTTTCCTTTAATTACCAATTTTGAGACAGCAAATTGATTTTTTCTATCTTTTGAAAATCAAAGCTTCTTTGCCTATATATAATAGTAATATGTTAATATATTATACAATTATATTATATATTATAATTACATAATAAATATATAGACTAATCCAGGTGAGTATTCTATAGTTAAACTTAGTTGTCAACCCTTTTTCCACTCATTTTTTAAAAATTTAATGTATGATTGCATTTGTTAACAAACCATATGAATACATGAATAGAAACAAATGTACAGATTATTGTTAATTAATGAAAAGATTAGCATAAATCTAAATAAAAGTGAGTCATCTTGAATTCAAGTTCAATCTTGATCTAATTTAGAGATGTTTTGTTTTTTCTTACCTTTGAAGATTTGTACTGAAGACATGCAGTCCGCAATGCCAATACTCTGAGAAAGAAGATAACCAGAGAAGAAAAGCTCTAATGACCTAAGTGAATGAGGGATTTTTCTGGATAAAATTAAGTAGGCACATCCAGCTATATGAGATGGATCATAGGTGAATGGTGTAGGATACCAAACACAAATGCTTACTGAATACTAAGTCTTTCCATCTTACTAAATCCCTACCTCTATGAGGTAGGAAGAAATATTTAATAACAAGTAGGACCATTCAGAATCGCAGCATTGGGTAGAATCGCAGAAGTCTTTCCCTTGGTGAGGCATTGATACCTGGGCTCCTGAATTTGGTAAAGTCTGGAGAATACTGGGATAGAAAATGTCATGGGGGCTGGTGACTGTGGGCATCCACTCTTTACCAATGTTGGGAGATGCTTCACTCTTCAGAAACTAATGTGACAGTACTGGTCAGACATCAGCCTCAGAGATGAGGCTGGCATTTTTCAGGTGAAAACATTGTAGCTCTGAAAGGCTCACTTGTTTAACACCAAGGCAGTTCATCTGTGGCTAAGGCAAGACTTGAATCCATAGCTGTCTTTCTCAGAATCATCTCTTGTTTTGTACCATGGCACACTAGAATGCTTCTTAGATAATTTCTCTAAAAGAATTAGCCTGATGTTTTTGCTTTATGAACAGTATCTGTAGATATGATCACTTGTGGTAATAGTATGTCTGGATAAAGGCAAGGGATATATCTACTAGTGATTCACTAATGTTGTCCAAGAGCAGCAGCAGCAGCAAAAAAAAAAATCTGTTTCAGTATCAATTGATTACTTTGATGTTAGAGTGATATATGTTTTATTTCTAATTGGTGATCAGTAAAAAAATTGATTGAATTAAAATAATGCCTTTATTGTTCTATCTATCTTGTATACACATACACATTCCATCTTTTGAAGTAAGAAGCAATTGTAGGTAAAAGCAAAATACTAAACTGTTTAGTGAAATTGGGCCATTATTTGTTTTCATCTGAAGTCATTTATTTCAAATTGAACTGAACTAAGTGAGCAAGTTTTCCTTCAATTTAAAACAAATGTAAGTAAAGCTTACATTATAAAGAATAGAAAGGTGTAATTTTTATGTATAGAAGTGAAATTGGTGCAGAATAGCAAGCTGTATTAAGAACTATTTGAACTGGGAAGGTGGTTCAGTGATAGAGTGCTTGCCTTGCATGCATGAGGCCCTGGGTTCGATTCCTCAGCACCACATAAACAGAAAAAACCAGAAGTGGTGCTGTGGCTTAAGTGGTAGAGTGCTAGCCTTGAGCTGAAGGCTGAGGGACAGTGCCCAGACCCAGAGTTCAGTCCCCATGACTGACAACAAACAAACAAAAAAGAACTATTTGGTGGTTGATTTGTTCCTAAGGAAATACAGCAATTTAGAAAAAGAATTGTGAACTGATAATAATCAAACTCCATTTCTTTGTAGGGGACCCACCAAAATAAGACTACAGATAATCAAATGCATAACCACATACTATTTAGACAAACAAGTTCAAGAACATTAATTTTGCTAGATAAAATGTAGCTGCAAAAAATTTCCAATCTATAAACAGATTTTGTTTCAAACGTTTATTTGTATTTTAACATTCTAGAACTTTCTATGAAATTTCCAATATAAAAAACTAAAATAGCATTAGGTATATCCTCAGTCTGACTAGAGAAAATTTGTTTTACCTGCAATCTCCTTCAAACGTAGAATAAACTATGTTTTAGGCACAATACTCCATACACTACATCGGTAATGTGGGAATATTTTCTCTATCTCTTGGGAAGTACTTGATTTCAGATTTCAGATCAATAGTCTTGACAGAAAACAAGCAAGGCAAAGCCTAAACATTAGGTCATGAGTTCCCATATTTTTGCCATACTTTCACCTACTTTTAAGGAAAATGGAAACCCTAATTCTCAGTATTCCAAATTCTGTCAAGGAGATTGTAACACATTGAATTTAAGAGTTGAATGGAAATGGTCAAGGAAGCATTATCATATTGGCAATGTGAGACTGAGCACAGACAGATGGTCTAGGACACCAAACACAAATGTGTACTGAAGTTAGGTATTGACAATCTCACTAAATCCTAGAACTCTGTGGTAGGAATGGCAAAGTCAGAAATATTTAACAAGTAGGACAAGGAGACAGACCAATCAGAACAGCCACCCTGGGTGGGATCGCAGAAGTCCCTTCCTTGGTGTAGGCCTTGATACTTGGGCTCCTGAATTTGGTGAGGTCTGGAGAATACTGGGATAAAATAGGTCCTGGGGATTGGTGACTCTTTACCAGTCTATGAAATGCTTCACAACTTACTAACCAGTGTGATAGTACCTTTGTGTGCAGGCCAGACATCAGCTCCACAGGCAGGCATAGCTTTCTAATCTGAATTAGATGTTCTATAAGATGGCAGAATATATCTGATAAAACAGAACTGGAAAGAAAACTCAGCAGTCACAATGCTTTATTCACGACTCTATGTGTAGTTACAACTGAAGATGTTCAGCGGCCTGACATTACCCTGCTGTTGACTTCTCGGTTTTAGTATTCACTGAGTGACTTGAACTTAGTTGAGTTCAATCGCCTGCACCACAGGAAACCACGTCCCTAACTGCTGTTTTCTCTGCTTTCTATAGCCAACACCCAAAGCCACTCTCAGTGTCATGGGGAGGAGACTTCACAAGGTAAGTGAAAAGAAAACAGCAACGATTGTGTTTTCAAACAGAATCTGGTCAAGCTTTTGGCTCAGGACAGGAAGCACTGCCTTGCAGGGATCCCCAGTAGGGATATGAAAGAGACATACCTTTTTTATATGGAATCTTATAGCCTGTGAGGGAAAGGAGACAGATCCCAGGTTCCCAAGCCCCTAGTCTAAGGCTGAAATAAATTTGTTGTCTAGACAAGAGGAAATGCGTTGCTTTTTTTCTTTTTTGAAGGAAGATTATCAGAATTTTAAAAGCCAAATGAAGATGAGAGTATATCACTAAAGTTTAATAAAATTTAGTTTGTACAACTGCTTGTTTTGTAGAAGGCCTGTTTTCCTCTTTCTCTTGGTTTCAGTTTAAAATCGGCCTTTAAGTCCAAATACAAATTAAAACTGAGTAAGCAATCCCAACGAAACACAGGCTTTATTACATAGCCGATATCCTCTTGCTCTTCCCCTCCCCAATTGCATATTTGAACTAGAGGTAGAATATGGCTAAGGGTTTTCTGTAGTCTGCATGTTAGCACATGGCTGACATCTAAAATTGCTTCAAAATTCAATGGAAATTAGCTTATTCTATATTGTAACTATCAGATTATTAACAAATCCTTCAATCATGAGAAGGCAATATAAACTTGAGAGGTATTTGTAATTATCATTCTTCAAAGCCTCTCATTCTGATTGACCTCTGGGCCTTCTGATTTTCTGGGCTATGGCCACACAGGATGTAACATGTCCACTGAAGATGTTGAATCCAGAAGTTCTGGGAAAAAGTTGGACAATAATGACAAAACAAACTCTTTTTGCCTTTACTTTTTACTGTAGCTATATAGACAGACAGATAGATATAGATTTAATTTGCCCTATTACATCCATAATTGAAAGTCAACATTTTGACACTGTAAGAGGAACCTACTCTTACAATGGTTAGCTTAGGACTCCAGGATAAAGCAAAAACAATCATTCAGTAGAAACCATACTTAGCACTTTGAATTATGATCTTTTCTCTTGCTAGTAATGTGTGTTCAGATCCTTTTAAAAATATGTTTTTTATTATAAAAATACTATACATAGGGGTTACAGTTACATGAGCAAGGTAATGAGTACATTTATGCTGTAGAATGGAAGGGAACTACAGCTCTCTGTCAGCCAGGTGATCAAGAGGTAAATGACTGAAACATAACAGGGTAACTCTACTAATAAGATAGGATATATTAAATGGATTTTCACTATATAATATTTTCAAGCAATTGTAGGTTCTTGAGAAATAACCCCATTGTGAGCTGAGATGCATCTGTATTAACTAGATCATTTCCTTCTGTTCTGGAAAATGCTCTCATTAATACATGTTGAGTCTTTTTACAACTTATTCTGTCCAATAGCTTTATCTGGCACAGCCAATCTGAAGTTCTACTATTCCAGAGACCACAGGGTAAGATTACATTAGAATTGTTTTCCCTGTGAAACTGTCCTAATTTCTTTTTGTATGTATGTTTTTTAATTGTAAAAATACTGTATAGAGGGGTTACAGTTATATGAGCAGGGTAATGAGTCCATTTCCTATGGAGCATTGTTGACACCTCCTTTGTTTTTCCCCTACCATCCCTTCCCTCCCACCTCCACAAATATCTACCCCCCACCACCATGGAAGTTGTAAAGTTCATTTTCAACATAGTGTCTTGTACATCTTCTTATTACAATGGGTTAACCTGTATCCTTATTTAAGCATTTTGTTTTTTCCCTTCTCCTTCCTAAATTAGAGAAGTGTATATACAAGATGCAGGGTCCTGGCATCAAATACAGTGAAAACAGGGTTTATACCTCAGGGGAGCAACATACAAAGAAACAAAAAATCACATGGTACATTATAAATAGGTTAGAAACACTAGCAAGAAAGATAAAAAATATGTGTGTCCCTATTTTGGGGTTCATTTCGCTTAAGATCATCTTTTATGGACATATGTACATAGATTTTGATCTTTTCTGCTTGTCTCAGACATATACTAGTTATTACAAATAAGGGAAACCATGGAACCTATGTTTCTTTGGGCCTGGCTTACTTCACTTAATATAATTTTTTTTTCTGCTGAATCTAGTATCTCTAGCTTTCAGCGATTGGCAGACATGATGGATTAAGAAGAATTCTGCATTTGCTTATCTTATATATAAACGTTTTATTCTCTTAATACCATTTCATTTTATGAGTGCTTTTTTTTTTCTTTCTGTACTTGTGTTTGAATTCAGGGCACCCTCTCACCTGATTCATTTCCTAGCTTTTTATTTTCTGTTTCCAAATAGGATCTCTCACTTTGTGTTCAGGCTAGCCTAAGACAACAACTTTCTTATCTCATCTCCTGTATAGCTGGGAATACAGGTGTATGACATGTCTGATCCTTAAGTGATGAATAGATTTTATGAAGCAAACTCAAATGGCTGATGTACAGCCTGTGATGTAGAGACTGTGGAGTTGGATTTAGTTCGCAAACTGCCTATGTTCAGAGACTTCTTGTAAAGTGGGAATTGTGATACTCTTTTTTGGAGTAGGCCAAGCCAGCATTGCCTGTTTTTGTTCAGTGTAAGATTTTCCAAAGCTGCTACCAAGGCTTGCTTTACCTGGACCCTGGCCAATGAATGTGTTTGACACCTTTGCCTGTCTCTCTTCTTGTTTAGTACATCAGCATCAGTGGCAAGCCTTTGTTCTTATTCACTTAAAGCATGGTCTCTCCTCTGAGCTTTGATGCTATGCTACTCTTTCTGACTAGGTTTCTCTTCCTCTAACTTTCCTTATTGCTTGTTCCCTCAAGTCAATCAGGATTCTGATTAAAATCTTCTCACAGAGGTCTTCCTTTGACCACCTATCTAAAGGATGGTATTTTAGCAGTAATAAGTATATTTCCTAAACTTACTATCTTGTTATTTACCTTCATCAACATATTATTCTACTATGTATTCAATTGTTGCTTGTCTTTTCCACTAGATTTCCTGTAAGAGTAGGGATTTTTATTTTACTTTTGGTTCTACTTCTAGTATTTAACAGGTGCTTACAGAATATTGAACAAGGACTTGTTGCATGAAAATTTTGTGATAGCAAATGAACAAAAATATAAGCAAAAAATACCAATTAGTAAGAGACTAAAAGGATAAATTGTTGTCTATAATGAGAACAGTTAGGGAGAAGAGAAGAATTATACATATAATACTGTTGGATTCCTACAATTTATTGCCAAGAGTGCAGATACAATAGTATATAATAGAAACTCTCTCCCTCTCTCTCCTCAAATGATTACATGAAAATTGGTAGAGACAAATACTCACCAGATTATTGCAGACATTGGTGATGTAGAGAAAACTTACAGGTTGATGGTTGCTTAAGAAAGGTTAAGATCAGAAATGTACAAGATGCTACAACGAAGAACAAACTTTACAACTTTCGGAGGAGGGGTAGGGAGAGTGGGGGGGATGGAGGACAGCGATGGTAAGGGGAAACAAAGGAGGAGGCAACAATGCTTGATAAGAAATGTACTCATTACCTTGCTCATATAATTGTAACCCTTCTGTATGGTATTTTCACAATAAAAAAAAACATAAAAAAGCTAAAGATCATGTAAAAGGGATATAAAATTATTGCCAAGGTAAGACACAACATTACCTGCTTCTGTTTAGATATGCTTGTTTCAAAGCAACTTCAATCAAATTTTCTCCATTCCCCAGCCTCACCATGAGTTAGTGTCAAAAGCTGACCACCAATTCATTTGGTCCTCATAAATTTCCGCTGAGAATTCTGAGTGCAAGCTCTGGATTGCTGACGCAAACTTCCAGACAATGTACACAGAGACTTTATTCTTTGCCTAGCATGTGGGGTCTCTTTGTATTTCCTGAAAGACAATTGTGTTTTACATACTTTTATTTTTGTTTGTGGCACGAACCTTGGTGTTCTTTTGGTTACTGTCTATCAATTCTGGGGTATTGTGAGGAAAGACTATAAATCTGAGCATATCACAATACGAAGTTAGTGGTAGAAATAATGATAAAAATGTTAGAAATAGGGCTGGAAGTGTGTCTTTTTTTAAATTTAATTTTATTTGTGAACATACAGGAAATGTGTCTTAGTGGAAGAGTGCTTGCCTCTCATGTATGAAGCCTCTAATACATTCCTCAGTACCACATACACAGAAAAAGCCAGAAATGGCTATGTGCCTCAAGTGGTTGATTGCTAGCCTTAAGCAAATGAAGCTCAGGGACAGTGCCCAGGCCCCGACTTTAAGCACCATGACTGGCAAAAAAAAAAAAAAGTTAGAAATAGCACTTAGAATACATAGTGGCATTACCTTAGACATGGAATAAGATGGGCAAAATATATGAATTGAATAATCAAATATACACTTAATGACTAGGAAATGCATATTTTAGGGTAAGAAGATGTCCCTTTTACAAAGCTTTAAGTAACCTGAAATTTCATGTTTATTGGTTGTGATTGTATTTTCCCCCAGCTTTAAGGATCTGTTGTACACCTTTGTCATTACTTTGGTGCTATTTTCAAGCAACTAAACTTCTACACACTACAGAAAATAATTTAATATACTAGTTCTAAACTTAAGCTCCCTCAAAGCAAGATAAATAAATATTTCATGTGATTTTGATTTGAGGAAATGCAAATGTTTTGCTACAATATAAATGTGCTACTCCTATAGGGAATAGTTTTACTATTTTAAAGATGAACACAAAAGATACAAAATGGGTAAAAATTGTATTACTATAATAAGGAAACTGGACTAACATGAACTATTTTGTAAAGTACAAACTCTTTATTGATCTTTTTAAACTATTTTTTTACTATTTTTAAACTATTTTTAAATTTTTTAAAAACTATTTATTGATTTTCATTTATTCTTCTGCAAAATGTTTTTCACATGTGTATATATGTGTATGTGAGTTTGCATGTGCGCAGACATGAGTGTGTGCACATGTGTCCACATGCAC